ATGGAGAGCAGGCATGAGGTGGGAGCATCATAGCAGCACATAGAGGAGGGGAGATAGGAGATGACAGCAGAGAGCCGGTGATATAGCAGATGGGCATCATCAGACAGGAGACAGAGGGCAGAGCAAGCAGTCAGAGGAGTCAGGAGTAGGAGTAGAGGGCATCAGCAAGGGGCAGAGTCAAGAGAGCAGCAGAGCAGAAGGAGGCACAGAAGGACAGACAGCAGCAATGAGCATATAGGAGGGACCGCAGTGGGAAGCCAGGTACAGGGGGAGCAGAGAGGATCAGAGGCCGAAGAAGGTCAAGGTCAGGTCAGTCAGCAGACAGTAGCAGCAGAGGAAGACAGGGAGCAACACAGCAGCAGAGAGAGGACAGAGCAGAGAAGGATGGCAGCAGGAGCAGACAGCAGCCAAGTGAATGACAGGGGCAGGGGGTGACCATGATAGTGCAGAGTGAAGAAGGGGGAGGCAGGCAGGTCCCGGATGGCAGGAGGGGAAGAGAGAGACATGACAGGAGTCAGTCAGCATAGAGAAGCAAAGCAGCAGTCAGCAGGTCATACAGGAGGTCAGGGGAGGCAGCAGGTCAGGAGTCAGCCAGGTCAGCATAGCAGGCAGAGTAGGAGAGTCAGGAGCATAGTGGGCACGAGTCACACAGAGACAGCAATTTGATGCAGGCACAGCAATAGCAAGCAGGGGGTTCGGGAGGCAGGCAGAGCAAGTCAGCAGAGGGGACAAAGTGGAGCCAGAGGTTGTCAGAGAGGCAAGTCAAGAGGAGAGCATCAAGAGCAGCAGTCAGCATAAGCAAGTCAGGTCAGTCAGCAAGGAAGGGCAGGGAGAGTTCAGATGAAGCAGCAGCAGGCAGCAGAAGAGGAGGTGTCAAGAGAGACAGCAGGAGATCAGGCAAGCAGCAGCCAAGAGAAGCACAAGGAGTAGTGGAGCAGAGAGTCCCCAGGCAGGTGTAGGCATCAGCAGAGAAGGAATAGGAGGGGGGGGATAGAGTCATGGACAGGCAATAGGACCAGAGAGGAGAGAGGAGCAGCAGTCCAGCAGGGCAAGCAGAGAGGAGCAGTGAGCAGCACAGTGTCAAAGCGCAGGGAAGGATGCAGGCCAAGAAGCAGATCAGAGAGAGCAGCAGGAGAGCAGCAGCAGGCAGAGAGTGGCAAAGCAGTATAGGCAAGAGAGGGGCAGGACACACGGATGAAGCAGCAGGAGGAGCCAGCACAGAATTCAGGGGCGGCGGAAAGCAGGACAGAGGTTCAGCAGCAGACAGAGCCAAGGTGGAGGGGGGCAAGGGGGAGCCACAGCAGAGGCCGGGCAGTTAGTGCATAGGGCATGATGGGAGCAAGGGAGGAGGGCAGCAGTGACATATGGGATCCGGCACGAGGGTCAGCAGGGGGGAGAGCATGACAGTCCAGAGCAGGCAGCAGAGGGGGTCAGGCAGAGGAGATGTGAAAGAGAAAGAGGAGCAGCAGTCAGCACAGGGACAGGGATCAGGTGAGTCAGTATGCAAGCAGCAAGGTAAAGAGCAGTCAAGAGGGTCAGCACCAGGCAGACAGAGCAGCAGCAGGAGAGAGTGCACAGGAAAAAGAGCAGGCAGGGAAGGTGGAGGCGCAGTAGGCAGCAGGGAGCAAGCACAGAGCATGTCAAGCAGAAAGATCAGGGTAGAACAGCAGGCACAGGTCAGGGGTCATGCAGGAGAGCAGAGAAGGGAAGAGGCATAGTCAACAGCATACATGGCATCAGAGAGCATATAAGAGTGTCACAGGCAGGTCAGTTCAGGGCAGCCGCAGGGACACTCACAGAGAATGAGGCAGAAGAGGCAGGGGGGGAGAGAAAGAGGCAGGTCCAGCAGGAGCATGGAAGAGCAGGCAAGCAGATAGAGGTCAGGCATGAGGAAGAGAAGATGTAGGAAGGAGGTAGAGAGCAGTCAGAGTAAGCATGAGAAGGAGGATGACGAAAAGCAGAGCAGGGTCATCAAGATGGAGAAGAATCAGAGCATTCAGTAGTGAAATCAGATGATGTAGGAGGCAAAAGTGAGGAGAGCAGAGATACAGAAAATTATATGGATTCAGTGAGATTTAGGGAATAAGAAAGGGCAATATGTAAGGAGGGTGAAGGCAGCTGGAGGAGTGAAAGTGAGCAGCAGAGCAGAGCAGCAGAGTCAAAGGGGCAGATAACATGTTCAAGCATAGGCAATGGCAGTCATAAGCAGGCTGCAGGGAGAAGCAGGCAGAGGGAGAGATGAGAGTGTCAGTTCAGTCATAATCATAGCAAGTAGAAGGGTCAGAGGACAGATGATGGTGAAGCAGAGAGCACAGAAGTGAGGCAAAGTGCATAGAGCAGAGAGAGGCAGGCAGCAGGGGACTCAGGGCAGTGCATAAGAGGCAGGGAGGTCAGTCCAGCAGGAGGGATGCAGGAGAGAGCATGGAGCAGGCAGCAAGGAGGCAGGAGCAAAGAACACAGTTCAGAAGTAGAGCAGTCATGCAGCCGGCAAGAGAGAGAGAGAGAGAGAGCAAGGGAGGCAGCAGAGGGATAGGGAGGCACAGCAGTAAGAGTGAAGGGAGCCCAGAGGGGGGAGCATCAGCAGAGAGGCAGAGCAGTCCAGCAGGGGGGATCAAGAGAGGAGGCACAGTAGCGCAATAGAAGAGTAGCACACCGTAGAGCAAGAGAGGTCATAGCACAAGAGAGCGAGCAGCAGCAGGGAGGGAGGCAGATCATTGGAGTGCCAGAGCAGAGAGGAATGCAGGGTGCAGAGCAGACAGATGTCAGCAGTCAGGATCAGAGAGAGCAGAGCACGAGGAGCAGACAAGGACAGAGCAGTCAGAGGCAGTTAACAGGATGAGAGGCAGACAGCCAGCCGGGAGGGCGGTTTCAGATGAGAGAGAGCAGCAGCCTGAGGTGATCAGGCGAGTCATGGAGACAGAAGGAGGCAGAGATCAGAGCAGAGAGGAGGAGGAGAGAGGAGAGGCAAGGACGCAGAGCAGGAGAGCAGCAAGGCAGGCACAGATGGAGAGGAAGAGAGGAATTCAGCAGAGGAACAACAGAGGAGCAGTCAGGAGGCAGCAGGGAGAGGGGAGAGTCATGCAGAGCAGAGGGCAGGGGGTACAGGAAGACAGCAAGGAGATCAGAGAAGTGCACAGGGAGGGAGGCAAGAAGCGCAGGTATGAGATGATAGAGGAGATCGTCAAGCAGTACGAGTCAGTGAGCAGAGCATGGCAGGCAGAGCAAGAGGTCAGCAGCATAGCAGGAGGCAGGGGAGTCAGAGGCGGAGGAGTGGTCAAGAGCAGAGTGAACGGGCCAGAAGCAGAAAAGAGCAGGGGGCAAAAAAGGCAGGAGGAGCAGAGAAGTCAGGGATGGGAGGGTCAGGGAAGTCAAGGCAGAGAGCAATTAGCAGACCACACAGCAGTGTCAGAGCAGAGGGGTGAGAGGCAAGCAGAGGTAGCAGCGAGAGAATAGGGAGAGCAGGCAGAAGGCAGGAGCAGACAAGCAGTCAGGGCGACAGGGGCAGGAGAGAAGGGTCAGAGCAAGAGAGGAATGTCACAGTCAGCAGAGGAAGAGAGAGGAGGAGCAGAGAGACAGAGAGCAAGGCAGGCAGCAGGAGGTAGCAGAGCAAAGGCCAGCAATCAGAGAGCCAAGCAGGCTGAGATTTGTCCCAGCCAGCAGCAGAGCAGCAGTAGCCAGCACAAGCAGGAGAGTCACAGTCAGCAGGAGTAAGAGCAGATGCAGAAGTGCATGAGTTTGCAAAAAAAAAAAAAAAAATGAGAAAAGAGGAGTCAGAGAGAGGTGATAGAGAGGAGGAGGAGAGTCACAGAGGCAGAGGGCCTTGAGGAAGTGCAGATGGGTGAGTGAAAGGCATGCAAGGAGAGCAGAGAGGATGAGAAGGGTCAGGAAAGCAGGATGATAGCTGAGGAGAGATGAGTCAAGAGAGGCAAAACCGATCAGCATCAGAATTAGAGAGAGAGAGCAGAGAGGTAAGGGGGTGGGGGCGAGAGGAGAAGAGGCAGCAGCAAGATGCAGTCACAGAGGCAGAGAAGAGAGAATGTAGTTCAGGCAGGTGCGCAGGTCAATAGCAGAGGCAAGGCAGAGCAGCAGGGGGACAGGAGCCAAGGAGAGCAGCGCAGAACGCAGCAGAGGCACGGAGAGAGGGGTAAAGCAGCACAGGGCAGCCACGGGAGACAGAGTAGCAGGATCATGAAGAGAAGAGAGAATTGTCAGCAGGTAGAGGTCAGAGGGAGGAGAGGGGGGCCGAGCCAGGCATCACAAGACAGAGAGGCAGGAATGGGGCAGCAGCAAGACAGGAGCAGGGGCACAGGAAGCGAGGAAGCAAGTATCAGAGCAGAGCAGCAGGCGGCAAGGAGAGAACAGGGGTGTCAAGTCAAAGGCAGTCAGCAGATCAGCAGCAGCCAGAGCAGGCAGGCAGGAGCAGGTCAACATACCAAGAGCACTTATTGCCAGCGCAACCCTTATCAACTGGTAATCTCATACACCATACTATATACTTCCATACCCAACCTACCCATACACCAATTCTATAACCCATACTCCATACTCTGTATACCCCCATACCCAGGTGACAGTGACAATAAGTGGTCGTCTCAACATCCACGGCTGGCTTTCCTTTCTCCAGCACCAAGTCACGACCTTTCACCCCTTTCAGTTTGACTCCAACGCCCCTTTGAACAGGTGAGCATGTACACAGACATCTCACACACACCAGAGTTTGACCAGAGTCTAAACCTATCCTCAGCAACAGGTCCGTATGTGTATGTATGTATGTACATATGTACCAGCTAGCACCATCTGATCCTCCAACACCCACTGACCTCTGATGGATCCTGACAAATTGAGGCTTTCACAACACGAAAACCTTGCCAGCCTCCCGATACTGTGTAAACCTCTACATATGTGTGTATATGTACGTATGTACGATGTATGAAATTGTGAAGACAATGGATGATTAGTGTGGCGGTGGAGTAGGCATTGTGTTGTTGTGATTCTGCAGGAGCAGGTGGCAGACTGTGGCTGGTCCGTTCTCCCAGGACCTCCCTGTCTCCCATAACCTCTTCATCCTCTCCCCCAACAACAAACTCCTGGTGACCTGCGGACATTGGGACAACAGTTTCAGAGTATTCTCCATCGAGAGGAGCAAGCTGCTGGCCAGGATCGAACACCATGAGGGTATATTGACTAGGGGGAGCACTTAAATTTCGAAAAAGATTTTGGTGGGAGGCAGGAGTATATCTGAGCTATTTCACAATCATGCCCAGCATTCTAGTAATAGTCAAGGTTTCCTGCTACATGATGTATGGCAGCTAATGTTTAAAAGGAGGTTTGTTAGATGTTAGTTGGGTTCAGGAGAACCTGATCTACATTCCTGGTACTGGAGATAGGGACATGTTTGGAGGCGAACAAGGTCCCAATCACGTCACATTCATGACTGGCATTCTTTAGTCCAGTCATAAACATGAAGACCCCCTGATGTGCATTACATCATCGTAATTAATACATTCCACAGCTGCTTCTCTCTCTCTCCCTCCCTCTTGGCTTCTGGCTTACAGTCACAGAGAGATGTGTTCTGGTGCACACATGTAGTCACTTACGTAGATACAACCCCCCCTCTCCTCTCTCTTCTCTCTCTCTCTCTCTCTCTTCTCTCTCTCTCTTCTCTCTCCTCTCTCTGTCGATGTTCTCTGTGTGTGACGTCAGATGTGGTGATGTGCATGGCTCTGGACAGGGTGGGGACTGGAGACCATCTCATTACTGGATCACGTGACACCACTTGTGTCGTGTGGAGGTTTGGCTCAAACGTGAGTCTCTCACTCTCTTACCTTACAGATATGTAGGGGGCTCATGCCATCTTCTCTCATATCTCTTGCTCTGTTCCTCAGGAAGTGTACGATCATCCATTACAGACATTGTATGGTCACGACAGTGAGGTACGTATGTGTTGTTTGTTGTTTGTGTGTCTGACATTGTTTGTTTGTTTGTTTGTTTGTTTGTTTACAGGTAACATGTGTCGACATCAGCACAGAGCTAGATATGACAGTCAGTGGAGCCAAGGTGAGAGAGAGAGAAGGAGAGGAGAGGGAAAAGATGGATTGTTCCTCTGGTGTGTAGGACGGGACATGTATCATCCACACCGTCCAGAGAGGCCACTACATGCACACTCTCCTGCCTCGCAAGGAGAGACACAAGTGTGTCGTCCGCCACGCCCTCATCTCACCCCTCGGCAGACTCCTCGTCTACACCGAGGACAAACTCGCCAGGTCAAAGGTCAGCCACACCCCCTCGTCCTCGTATCCGCATTATGTGTGGTACAGTGGAAAATATTCCTAGGAAGGAACTAGCTACGTTGGTTAGCATCCGTTGAATCAGGAAGTATAGCCTTTCAGCTATGCCGCAGGTCCTACTAAAGAGATGTGTCAGGTCTGCTATGTCGCAGGTCCTACTAAAGAGATGTGTCAGGTCTGCACTGCTGTTTGTAGGCTATACTAAAGCCATATTATGCTGGAGAGAGTGTGTCGCACTGTGGCATGTCACGTAGGAATGTGGGGGAAGGTTGCATCTGAAGGCGTGGGCTTCCAGCTGCATTCTCCATCTCTAATTGGTTGACAGTGACGGATAATTGAAAATGATTACACTAATGAACAATTATGTCACTAATCACGGGAGGAACTCTTCACAAGAAGCAGCTGCTCAACCCTCACTCCTCACTTCCCATATTTCACTTTCCCCTCTTCACCCCTTCACACGCAATCTATGCTGTAATTACCAGTAATGAGGCATTCCTCCCTTCATCATTTCCTCCTCATTTCCTGTACCAGCTACATGGGTGTATGTGATATCCTTTACATCAAACTAATAATATGTATTCATGTGTGTGTGTGTGTGTGTGTGCAGGATATCCAGTGCCAGCTGAAGCCTCCATGTCTCCATCTCTACTCCGTTAACGCAGCTCTTATCACGGAGAAAGATCTCAGCGAATGTCTCAATGACGTGGTCATTGTTGAGAATTTCATTATCACTGGTAACGCCAGGGGTTTCCTCACATTCCGGGACCTCTTCACGTGAGTATATATATATATATCTTCAATCCTTTCTTTCCTTTTTCTCAATTCTATCCCTATCCCTCTAGCGCCATTCGCTCGTTTCATTACGTGTTAATGGTCACTGGGGGAGGATGGAAGGTTAAACATTATTTTGCCAATATATTTATACAATTGTCTGGAGGCATTGTCTGTGTGTTTAGTTATTGAGAAAGAGTGTCCAAGGCTACAGTCAACACAATCTGTACTACCAGAAAGTTAAAGGGTTGTATTTTGAAGTGTAGACAAAATCATATCTGGTGTCAGATGAGGTGTGACTTGTGGTTCAACCCTCGCTGCATGAGACGGTCTGAATACAGGTGTGGGCATATTGTAGTAGGCTAGTAGACATCTCCTGTACACCCACTGGTCTTGGCCGCTGCTCTTTTCAAAGAACACAATGTCCCTAATGATCCTGTATACACACTCCGGCTGTTTAAGAGGTTCTAGCATACCTTCCTTTTTCTTCAGAAAACATGCTCCAGTAAATGTGGTACACCTGTTGTTGAATGGGTTCTCCTCCATTCCTCAGAATACATGTTGTACCCTGATCAGCATACACCTCCTGTTGAGTTAGAGTTTTTAGCGTCACTTGGCATCTGGCACGCTACTATAGCAGTGTGTCATTCAACTACTCCCATTGTCTAGTACATGACTCCCTGGAACATAGAACAATTACACCTTAGTCCTCTACTTAACCCCAACAATGCCAGTTTGAGGCATCGGTTCCCTGTGTTGTGCCAAAACATCTGCCATCCAAAAGATGTTGTGCATTTTTGAAGAATCATGTTGTGGCTAAAAGTGCATTGTTGCATGTTCGGAAAATGATAACATTTTAGTGTGCCATCTGTTTGCTGCACTGAAGGCTCCTTCACCAATTCATAATTACAATGCTGTGTACTTGGAGGGTGTGTGTCCGTGATTCGGGGGAATCAAGAGGCAGGGTGTTTCCCGGTCTGACCGATTCGTGGGAAGGGGTGACTGTGGAAACAGTAGGTGTATTCATTGGCTGGGGATTGGGGTCCATCGGTTTTGTCTCCAGGAAGAACAGTGTATTGACATTCCCGTCAGTAATGGAATGTGACAGCCACCACTCCCCCAGCCGTACCATCCACTCCTTGGTCGCGGCGGGCGGCAGCAGTTCGTGTTGCGTCAACTGATACAACGCTCTGTTGTATCGTGTGACACTAGCAGCTGCTGCACTGGCAATTAATCCCACAGTGCTCTCACTAGCCGTGCAGATAGAGCACAGGAGAAAAATCTGCACTGAGCTCCTCGTTCTAGAATATTGTTTCTTGATGGCTTACATAAAAGAATCTACCAAAAACTCTCTGTCCCCCTGCAGGCTCCGTCAGGTCAGTAGTGTCAATCTCCTGGAGTCCATCAGCTGTATTAGCGTGGTACTGGACCACCAGTCAAAGCACGCCAGCCATCTCCTTGTGGCTCTCGAGAAAGGCAAACTAATCATCGTCTCCGTAGCGGACATTCCGTCTCATAAATCCTGATTTATTATTTTATATCTTTGTGCTCTTTATTAATGAATTTTTATACTATTTTATCACCTTCAAAGTTGTGTACAGGTTATGAATGTTGTGTTGATAAAGAGTTAGAGCAGTTTCCTGTTTGTGCGTACACACCAGACCTGGTGACTATATAGTGCCGGACTCTGTTTTCCTCTAACAGTGAACTCCCAACTGACATGTTGATATTGCGCATTTCAGGCATGGTTAGCCCGTGTCTAACCTGCTCTTTGAAACACGCTAACTACAGGCAGGCACGTCCTGGCCACCTCCTAATCGAGAACCTTGTGCTTGCATTCCTGGGATTCCTGTGGCTGGCGTGTCTCCTGACAGATCGTGAGCACTCTTGAGGCTAGCTGCCAAGAGTTGATGTGGAATTACAAGAATGCGTGGCATGTGATTGGCAAGTAGCATCCCCCAAGCATTCATAAAAGCCTCCCACACCAGATCCCTGCCTCAGTTCACTAGTCAGCCTGTTTGCCTGCTGCCAACAGCCACAGTTATAGTCAGTCAGCTGCACAAGGTCTACTATTGCCTTGTACAAGCCGCCAGCAGTTCATATCAAGGCCTCGTGGAGAATGGCCAGAGCAGAGGATCGAAGATCGCCTCGCAGGTCTCCCAGGTAAGGATACAGAAGCCCTTCAATTGCAAGCATTTCTATATAGCTGTCCAACTGCTTCACTGGTTGTTGGGCTGTCTATTGTACTTATTGGCTCAGTGTTGATTGTCAACTTTCACTATTGTCCGAGTTCTGTAGCAGTTGCTGCAGCACAGTGAGAGCTTGTTAGCAGTGAGCATTAGATGGTGTGCTTCAAGAGTTAGGCCCTATTGTACACGTGGAAACAGCGCAGTGTCTTTTGCAATGATAAACCGACAACTGTAATGCAGTAAATTTGCAACATTAGATGCAGTTATGCGTCTGTCTTTCCCTAACACGTTGATACGAGTTGCATGAAATGTCTCTTATTGTACAATACAGTATTGCATTCCCCGTGGCTGAATGCCTATACTACCACAATCCTCTTTCCCCGGCTCTTTGCAGCAACAAGTTCCTACCAACTGAGAATGGAGAGGAGCTGCAGTTTCACCGCAGGATCTCCTCCTCTGGTAGCCAGAGAGCAGTCTGCAGTCGACATGCTGGAGAGCTCCTCAAGATGTACTGCTTCGACTGCCAGAAGAGAGTCTGTCGTGACTGCACCACCTCTGAACACAAGGAACACAAGTGTGGCTTCATGAATTCGCACGACGTGGCAAAGAAAGAGATAATGTCCACTCTGGAGCCAGTCAAGGAGTTCAATAGCAGTGTTCTGGAGGCTTTGGGGGAGGTACAGTGGAGCAAAGGTGCCGTGGTGTCTCAGGGGAAGGCCGTGGAGCAAATGATCTGTGACTCCTTTGAGAAGCTGCAGGTGATTCTGGAGCAGAGGAAGGAGACCCTTTTGCAGCATTCGCGAGAGATTGTGGAGGGAAAGGCGCAGGTTTTGGAAGACCAGGAGAAGGAGATGAAGGAGGCACAGAGCGAAATGACAGAGCTCATCAGCTACGTTGACAAGACTGCGTCGAAGACATCGGCCGAGCAGTTTGCTGCCATGAAAGATGACCTGTGCACGCAGATGCTGGAGCTGATGCACAAGAATCGCAAGCTGTACCTGCGCCCCAAGGAAGTTGCCAACACTGCAATCCACAATGTACAACCAGAAATGCTTGCCAGACTTCTGGAAGAGAGCAGCGAGGTGTACGAGTTTCAGCCTGACCCTTCTCGCTGCATCCTGCAGGGCGCAGGGCTCGAGGCAGCAACCACCAACCAGGAGGCCAGGTTCACACTTGACCTGGTGGATGTTCAAGGGCACATCTGCCAGACGAAGCAGGCAGTGAGAGCTGAGCTGAAGTCAGAGGTGGAGGAAAACTCAACCACCATCAAGGCCACGCTACTCAACCACTCCTCCCCGACCTACGAACTGGGATACGTTCCGGTCCAGCGAGGGAGACATGTTCTGTCTGTCCACGTCAACAACATCGACATCGCGTCGTTCAAGGTGTTTGTCCAGTACCCACCCACCCAGCTGGACAAGCCAACGACTATGATTAATGGGGTTCTCCCCAATCGAGTAGCTCTCTCGCCTGATGGTCTACTGTACGTCAGTGAGTCGCAGCATTCTCGAATCTCCATCTTCAGTCGTGACGGAAGCAAGGTTCGGTCCATCGGGATGATCGGATCTCCTCCGTTTGGATACACTCGCACCACTGGCACTGCAGTTCACAGCAATGGAGACGTATACGTGTCTACGTTTGCCTCGAAGGTCTACCGGCTCAACAAAAAGGGAGAGGTGATTGGTTGTGTGGGGAAGGAGGGAACGGGAAACGGAGAGTTCAAGTGGGCTGACGGGATAAAGATCTTCAACGATCAGCTGTACGTCTGTGACTATGGCAACTCCAGAATCAATGTCTTTGATCTGGACCTGGGGTTTGTCCGCACGTTTGGGAAGGCGACGGAAGGACCTGGGAAACTGACCAACCCGGCAGATCTGGCTCTCGACAGCCGAGGGAACGTGTACGTGGCCGACTACAGCTCACACAAGGTGGTGGTGTTCTCTGCCGACGGGAGCTACCTCTCTGAATTTGGAGGACACGGGGAGGAAAACGGGAGACTCAAGTCCCCAGTCGGGATCTGCACCACGCCCCACTACGTGTACGTCTCAGAGCAGGGGAACAATAGGATCTCAATATTCCACACCTCGGGCCAGTTTGTGGGGACCCTGTGCAAGGCGGGGTCAGGGGAGGGAGAGCTCAACTATCCCTGGGGTATTGCCGTCGACCAAGATGGCTTCCTCTTCATCTGTGACTCTAAAAACAACCGCATTCAGATCTTCTAGTTCACATCATCACGTCCCTCGTCTCGCATGTCTGTTATTGTCCGTATCCCATTTTATATGCATGACTCAACATAATTATGTATTGTTACCCACTATGCGCAATGCTGTTTTTTGTGTACGTATGACATCATTTGGGTATACTGATGACATCGTTGGGAGATTGTTAGATAATGAGTTATGACGTCATCAAATTGTTAACTTGCTCTGTTCATAATGGTGGCCACTGGCCAATAATAATTATGTACATGCGAGGGGTTTGCAATTTAATTGGTGATGTGACAGCAACAAAAAACAAACAGCAATAATGATGTTGCTAGGTGACGACGGCCACGCCCGCTGCAGCTCGGCAGGTCTCCATGGAAGCCACCAGCTCCCAGGTATTGTTCACAGGGTCGTAGATCTCCGAGCTCTTTAGGTACGAGGGTCCATTTATTCCTCCCACTGCCACCAAGTTGTTTCCTAGAGTGCAGAGACACACCCCGTCCCTGGACGACATCATGTGGGCCGCTGACTGCCACTTCCCCGTCCTCACGTCCAGGAAGTCAAAATGAGTCCAGTCGTGACGTTCCATCGTTGCCCCCGGCGACGAAAATCTGCTGCCCAAGGACCGTGACTCCAATCCCTGCCCGAGGCTTGTTCAGAGAGGTCAGAGTACACCAGCGATTGATATGCGGGTCGTAGCACTCGACAACGTTCAGGAAAGAAGTTCCGTCATTTCCGCCAAAGATGTAAAGTTTTCCTTCAAACACAGCGACCCCGGGGAAGCTCCTGCGAGTGCTCATCTGAGCCACAGGCGTCCACAGGTTCTTGTCCAGGTCAAACCTCTCCACCGTGTTGAGACAGGCTCGTCCGTCGTAGCCTCCCGCTGCGTACATAGCCCCGCCCAACACCCCCACCCCCACCCCCGACCTACAGGTGCTCATGGGAGCCACAAACGACCAGAAATTTGTGGTAGTGTCGAAACACTCCACACTGCTGAGTCGCAAGGATCCATCTGACCCACCCACTGCATACACCTTCCCGTCCAATACACCGACACCCAGCTGCTGGCGGCGGACTATCATCCCCGTCACTTCGCTCCACTTGTCTTCCTTGAAGTTGTAGGACTCCACCGAACGTGTGATACTCTCTGAGGACTCCTTACCTCCAACTGCGTACAGGGTACTGATGGTGGACTTGCGGGGAACGAAGCGAGGGTTGGCAGAGCGAATGTCTCTCCCCTGGGGGAGAAGATGGAACCTCTTAGCCTCGTCCACCAGGTCTCTGCAGTGGATGCTGTCCCTGATGAGTGGTTCTCGGTCTACCTCGTTCATCAGGAATGGGACAGAGAGCATCGGCAGGCGGACGCAGTTCAGGAGTTCAGGGAGGTGCTGCGCTCGCTCCGAGGGGCTCTGTTTGACCCACTGTATCACTGACAGATAGACATCTTCCTCTTTCCTCACGTTGAGATCGCTGCTAGAGATGAGAGCCGCCACACTTTCACAGTTGTTGTTTAGGAACTCGCTCCCAAGAGCCACTTCCTGGAAGTGTTGACGGGCAAACTCGTTGATTATCTCCGAAAGGTGGGAGCACCCGTTTGCCTCTGCAAAACATTTTATCCCGAGACAGTTGGACGCGTCCAGTTGCTTCTTGAGGAAGTCACAGCAGAGGTCTTGAACCTGTGAGATTTGGAGGAGAGACGCCGCGGAGAGCACCTCCTGTACGTTGTCCACTGTCACCGCTATCTCCCCGGTGTATGCAAAGTCGACCAGAGAGGAGAGGATGTCAGGGTTCATGTCCTTTATCTCCACCACCTCTTGCTCGCTCTCCAGTAGTTCATGAGTGAACATGGCCAGAAAGTAAGAACTTGAGGCAGAGAGGACGGCGCGGTGCGTGGCTATTTCCCTACCCCCTGCCCGTAGAACCACGTCACAGAGCTTTCGGTGGCAGCGCAGAGCGTGGACTTTGCGAAGGACCGTGCGAGAGAAGTCGGGTTCATCGTCCCGCGGTCCGGCAGCGGGTCGCGGCGTCCGGGGCTCCGTCAGATTCGGAGAAGACTCCGCCATCTGACGTCACACTGAACCCTGGGACACAGAGAGGAGAGTAAAGGCCTTATAGAACAACGAAGTTTTAGTTTTTACCCTCTTTGGGTAGAGAAAGACAGACCTTACCTCCACACTTTCTCTCCGTAAACAGCTGGACTGCGGAAATTCTCTGTATTCTACTCCGTAATCTCGTCTTCCCGTGATCTGGGCGTGGTTTAGTTGCAGAGCCTTCATTTTGTGTTGGGCGACTGACTGCGGAAAGAAGGTGAGGATCTGTTCTTTCTGTTACTCTGTCCTCTTCTGAAAAGCACTCCCTGTCGTTTTAGTTAGTCTGCATTTTCTGCAGCTGTTAGGTGGCGTTCGCGTGCGTGGGGAAAAACGGAAAGACGAGTGTGTGCGCGAGCCCGCGTGCCGTATGGTCAATGGAGGAAGAAGTTGGGGGCGGTTGAATGGGTTCGGCGCCTGAGTAAGCTGCTAGGTGCATGTCTAGTGGTTGACTCCTGTAGAGAATAGTGCAGCTTCCGACAAAAGACTAGCTAGCTGGTTCCCTAGCATAAAACCCCTCCCCCCTCCTTTTGTGGCCCCTTGTATTCCAAAATCCTTGGCTTTTGAGGCCGCCATTCACCTCTCTCTCTCTCTCCTCTCTCTCTCTCTCTCTCTCCCAGCCCCTAGCCTGCAGGTCCATTCAGGAGGAACGCTGTCTAGAACATGGGAGGGTGTGTCAGTGCAACTCCTGAGGAGAGAGAGGCAAAAACTCGAAGCTCAGTTATCGACCGACAGCTGCGACATGATGCACGGCAATACGACAACACAATCAAGATCCTCTTACTGGGTATCATGCCTGTCTGTGTGTGTGTGTGCGTGCGTTTTGTATTGGTATTATAGCAGAGACACATGTGTACGTGAGTAACTAATGTCAGCATGGGCCTACCACATATAAACACAATTTCTCTGTGGCGTTCTCATGGTGCACATGTAAACATGTGTTCCTGTAACATTCTGGCTGCGGTGGTGTGGTGGGTGAACTGGCGTTGCTGGTCTCGTCACATAGAAATGACTTTAATTGTTGTAGTACATACACACACGTACAACTCTGTAAAAGGACGGCCATTGTTCAGTCAAAGCTGAGTGTACTATGCCTTGTGAGGCGTGGCAGTCCAGTCAGCTAACTACTGTGCTATAATATGCAGGGGCTGGGGAGTCAGGGAAGAGTACAGTGGTGAAACAGATGAAGATAATCCACGGGGATGGTTACAGTCAGTCTGAACTCCGAAGTTTCAAGGTAAGTCCCTTTCTTTACGTGGGCTGCTGGGGTTGGGACTGAGTGTCCATTAGTGCAAGTGCTTCTTCAACTTCCTGTGTGTTGTGATGTAATGTGTTTACTGCGGAATCCTCTGACCCTCTCAGTCGGTAATCTACGGCAACCTGGCAGCCTCGATGAGAGTGGTTGTGAATGCAATGGACAAACTCGGCATCCTGTATGGCAGTCAGGCCAGCCAGGTATCGTCCTCTAGTCCCCATCTCTCCTAACACGTCCAACCAACCCTCCTCTCCCTCAGGAACAGGCTCGTGTCATCCTGAGCCTCTCCAACTCCCTCTCATCCTATGAGGCTTTTCCTCCCGAAGTCACCACTGCCTTCATCAGTCTCTGGAGAGACGCTGGTGTCCAGGAGTGCTTCAGTCGGGCCTACGAATACCAGCTGAACGACTCCGCCCCATAGTTAGTCCTGTTTGTCGTTTTTTACATTATAGTGGCAGATATTTGGCAGAGGAGACAATTTGGGTCTGACAGCATATGTTAGCCCTGCCTTTCTCTCTGGCTTCTGTGGTGGGGTATTTCATTATCCCACCTCCCCACTCCACTCTGAATGAAACTATCAGTGGGTGATAAAACAAGATGGTCAACAGGGACATGGTGTACTGAGAGCCAGTGCTTGTAGTGCTGTATCAAACTGGCCTGACTTCTGTCAAGCTCTATTGTGGTGTATTCCACCTTCTGTCAGCCTGTGTCTTTGTTTACCACAGTCTCCTGCCTCACATAAACCACATGAATCCCAATGTCGTTTGAAGATGAAAGTGTCACTGTGTTAGGATATTTGAACAACACCCCCTCTTTCTCTGTGGTTGTAGCTATTTCCAGAACATGGATAGACTGTTGAGAGACGACTATGTACCAGACGAACAAGATGTCCTCCGGTCTCGAGTCCAGACCACCGGCATCATCGAGACCTCGTTCCGTGTCAAGCAGCTCACTTACAGGTCTGTCTTCCACTCACTGAATATCTCCTTAATTAAAACCCTTTGAATAATTTATATTGCACATCTCCTTAAAACCCTTTGCCTACTAATTTTTACTCAAACTAGGGAAAACTTTCTTGTTTCGTTTTGGAATCTTTTAAAGTGAACAAACAACTCATGTTCTGTGTATACTTTTATCTCAGAGTGGTGGATGTCGGAGGTCAGAGGTCAGAGAGACGAAAGTGGATCCAATGTTTCGACGATGTGAGAGCAGTTCTGTTTGTGTGTGCCCTAAGTGGGTACGACATGACGCTTTTTGAAGACGGCAAGACTGTAAGTCTCCCCTCCGCTTGGAGTGGGCGGGGCTAACGAGGTCTGTCTCCATGCAGAACCGGCTGGAGGAGAGTCTGAACCTGTTCCAGGCCATCTGCAACAACAAGTTCTTTGTCAAGACCTCCATGGTGAGCGGGAGGGTATTTATAGCCGCTGGTCTATTTTTAGCACAACCTGAATGTATTCATGAGTGTTGTGCTGTGTGGCACTATATCACAAGCTCATTGAGTGTGCCCAGTAGCCACAAGGTATGTTTACATGCCAACCTTCATTTTGTGTGGCCTCTGTCTCTCCCTTTTCTCTCTCTCTCCCTTCCCCTCTCCCCTTCCCCTCTCTCCTTCTCCTCTCTCCTTCCCCTCTCTCGCTCCTCTCTGGCCCACAGATTCTGTTCCTGAACAAGGCAGATCTATTCCGAGACAAGATCACCAACTCTGACCGTCACTTGCGTATCTACTTCACCCAGTACACAGGTCTCTCTTCTTCATGCACTGTGCACTGTTCACCATCCCGCAGTCTTGTAGCTAGAGCTATTCACATTGGCTGTGGTATAGTGGCACTGAGCCTGGGTGCAGTGAGGGGAGTGAAGAGGTGTGGTCTTGGCCTTGAGTCCAGCTGTTCCCAGATGGCTGGGTATCAGCAGCGCCTGCAGCTGTAACCCAACTCCATGTACCTGTGTCATCTCTCTCTCTCCCTCCTTCTCAAATTACTCTCCCCAGCCTTCTCTGGTTTCCCCTTCCCTCTGTCTCCTCTTTCTAATTGTTCCTCCTCATTTGCCACTTATCCACAAACAAGCAGCTCCTTAAGTAAAGTATGTGGCATAGCACCCACCGTATACTGCGGCATGCTGTAAACAAACAGTGTTGGTTGATGGTGTTTCATGGTGTGCATAAGGTTCCACTGCCTGTGTTGACTTGGGGGAGGGTTAAATTTCCATTTATACTTGTTGTCTTGGCTGTATAACATAGGGAGGGGGAATTTGTTAATTACTTTTTCTCTCACTGTCTGCAGGTCCAGATCGGGATGTGGAGGCGGCCAGTAGGTTTATTCAGACTGAGTTCATGGAGCGAAATCTCAACAAGCAGAAGATTATATATCCTCACCTCACCACGGCAACCGACACCACCAACATCAAGGTGGTGTTTGGCGTTGTCCTGGACACTATCATTCGTGAGAACCTGGAGGCGGCCAACTTGCTGTGAACTGCGCAGCAGCTGCCACGCGCATCTCTAGCCCCTTTCTGTGTCCACTGCTCTCGTGATATACTATAGACTCCCCACTGACACACTTTTCTCCTAGATTTATAGTCGACTTAATGATTCACAGGCTGTTACTGAGTGTTCGCGTGAAGATAAAATTGTGTATTTTTAGCAGAGGTTTAATTTTCTGGGTGTGTGTCAAGTGTTGTTGTGTGTGTTTTTGTTTGTTATGCACTAATTACTTGTTACAGTGTAAGAGATAGTGGCTTTTTTGCATACCAATTCTCTTCTTTTGTAATCGATGGTGTATATTATTACAAATCAAAAGAATGTTTCATCGTCAAGTGGAGATTGTTTGGTGGGCGTGGCTTTCCTGGCCCCATTCCGTACTGGTTTCAGTAGGTGGATGAAATTGGTCTGTTGCGATCTCAGTTCCATTCCAGGTTTCTGTCTTGGTGGAATGGGTCTCAGACGGGTCCCCTCTAGCTCCTCCTTAAACTGACTGTACTGGTCCTTGTCTGAGGGGTGTGGCTTGTTGCTCCGGCCACGCCTCCTGGCAGTCCCTTGCTCTGCCAGTCTCCTCTCCTCTTCCAACTGCAGTTCTCTTTGCCTGGATTCTCTGTTCTCATTCACTGCCTTCTGCACTTACAAATTGCCAGCAGTGAGGAGGGAGTTAATGGCCAAACCTTGAAGTCAGTTGTAAAGGCGGCAAAGATGGTGAAGAAGTCGTCAATCCTCGTTGTGGCAGGGTCCTCCCCGTAGAAGACAACCACCTGGCGAAACTCTTGTCTCATGCGAGAATACAGCTCCACCAGGTCTGACGTCTTAGCCTCTGCTTCTGTCAGGAACTCCTGTCAGTAGTGGGTGAGGGAGGGAGGGAGGGTGAGGAGGGTGGGGAGTGAGCAAGGTGTGCTAACCGACATGACGTCATGGAAACGGTCTCCGGGCAACTCATCTTTGGAATCAATTTCATGAATGTCTCTCTTGATGTCCTAGATAAGAGCAGATCATAATTTGTGGGTCATTTTTCTTTGCCCTCTCACCCTCAGTCCTTGTGACAGTTCATTCATCTCCACCTCCAGAGTTTGGCCTGACACTGTAACACCCAGAGCCAGTTAGCTGGAAAGTTCGTTAACTGCATGCCATACATACCTCTGGCAGCCTGGCTGCAGGCTGACAGGTCGTCGTGGAAACCCAGGATCTGAGGAAACTTCCTCTCAGTGAGACCGGCCAGGAAATGGACGAGAGTGGACTTTCCGTCAGTGGTCCTCAGTCCACGCAGCTGGGACAGGAACCCAATACGGAACCCCTGGGCCTCCCCGATCCTCACGTTACCCATGTTCATGTGGTTCCCTATGGCCAGCACAAGCTGTGGTGGGCAGAGGGATGATGTCACGTGATCATCACATGATTGTCACATGACCTCTAGAAGTTTCTTGAAACGCTTGCTCTTCTGTAGCTGTACTGAAGCTTGACATATCGCCTCCAGGTCCTGACATCGTATTACATCATTATGACATAATTTTAATCACAGGATTACCGGTCGCATTTCGTCCACTTTTTCCTGATAGTGCATTCTGAACAGCATGGCATGGAGACGCTCCACGTAGCATGGGATCGTGCTCATCTGGAATGGAATTATGGAAACATGATAGTACGGAATGGAGACGGAGGTGGCATGGAATGGAGACTCACCTCGCACGAGAACTGGTCGGGGAGACTGAGGACTGAGATGTTGTCATAGTAACGAGTCAGTCCCAAACACTAGAGGGAGAGCCATATTCATCACAACAATGTCAAAATTCGTTTTTCAGAGAACACTATTGGTGTACGAGTGAAGCCATAGATAAAAGAAAGAGTGAAATGGTCACCCCCCTGACCTCTCTCTTGTCGGGGGCAAAGGCAGCCATGAGTCGAATGTGCTGCTCTCCCAGAATTGAGTGGTCGCAGGAGAGAACTGCCTCTCTGATGGCCGAGACCGGCAGCTTCAGGTGCTTCAGCAGAATGGCTGGAATAAGATGAAGAGGATTGTTGCGGAGGATAGCACGCATATTGATCAGAACTGCTAAATTTACTGTGTCACTCACAGATGTTGTAGACTTTCTTGGAGTCCAGAACTGTAGGTCTCTTGTTCTTCACAGTCTCTGAGGACTCTGTGTGTGTGTGAGTAGGGAGGGTGTGAGGGTGTGTGAGTGGGGAGTTGCTGACCCTTGGACTTGCGAAATGCAAACTGAGATTCCAGTTCAGCCAGTTCTATGGCTTCATCGAGACCACTCAGCTGTACCGAGGAATGGGGAATGAGAGAATGAGGATTGGAGAATGGTAGTATGAGAACATGGGAATGGGACCGACCTCTCCCCAGACAGTTCCGTCGGTCCTGGCCATCTTCTGCCAGTTGACTCTCTTCGTGTGTGGTTGGGAGGACGAGGACGAGAGGGAAGGGGGAGGAGGGGGAGGGATGGGGATTCCCCCTGGACCTACCACAGGGGTAGGCGGAGGCGGAGGGACAGTCCCTGGTGTTGTGGATGTAGTTATGTCATTGCTGGGTGTGGCAGGAGGTGTGGCTTCGGCGGAATGTCTTTTAAATGGTGTCGAAGAGCCACTCAGCACAGCAGCAAGTTTCAGTCTCACTAAAGGAAAATGTCACAGTTGTCATAGTGTGGCTGCATGTAGTTGATACCTGGGGTATTGTCCTGACTTCTCTTCTTGTGCCTCACAACTTGTGGCTGCTGGGGGCCCAATTTCTCTCCCTCCCTGGCCCCCTCGTTTTCCTCCATCAGGGGACCCAGATGGCCTAGTTCCTCTCCCACGCTGCCTATTGCTGTGTCCTCCAGAACATCTGCTACACACACAGACAGCGAGACAGAGAGAAAGAAAGTGGGCCAGTTAGTCTGCCCAAAACCATAACACATCACGTTTCAATACTGTGTACGGCTCTGGTTTGAGGGGAAATCGCTATCTTCCTGAATTCAGCACAAAACACACAGCACAACCTTCTTGGAATAAATCTCCAGATTGTTTCCTAGTCACTCCACCACCTCCAGCAAGAGAGCCGGATCCACTAGTGAAAGAGGACGCTCCACCGGCGAGAGAGGCAGCAGCCAGTCGGTCAAACTTAGCCTGTGTCTCCTCTGGCAACAGTCGACACACGTGGTGAAACAGCTGCATCTTTGCCGGGTCGCTCAGCAACACCCGCAGCCCTTCCACTAATTTGGGGATGTCCCTAGAGATAAATCAAATCAAATATTTAAATCAATCAAAGTCTCAAGACCTACTTTTGCTGTGAGAATTTTTCAAGTTCCTTCATTAGCTTTCTTCTCTCCTGCGGCTCCAAAACTTCCTCCGTTTTCTGGCGAAAGCTTTCCCTCACTCCTGGACCAGTCGACAGTGGTGGGGCCCCGCCCACTCCACGTAGGGTATGTCTAGAGGGTGTGATGGGTGTGGCCGAGGAGACGAGGAGGGAGGGGCACCGTCCGCTGCCTCTCAGGAGACGAACCACATGGGAATGGGTGGCAGTTCTGTGAGGTCAGAAATGAAACTAGAATGAAGTCAGTACACCTCTATCTGGACTGGCACACTATACTTTACTTATCCCGAACTGGATAATAAGGAGCCAGAAATGGATTTACTGCATAATATTATTGTGGTACAGACGGTGTATATATATATTACCTGACATTGAGACCGTTGATAGCTAGGAGTGTGTCACCAGGGGAGAGTCCAGCCAGCTGGGCTGGTCCTCCGGTGTCCACTGAGCGAATGAAGACAGGAGCATTTCCACTGAGAGAGAGGCCAAACCCTCCTCCTCTTCGATCTACCTTCACCAGTCTGAGATAGGGACAGGGGTTAGGACGAGATCAAGTATATTTAGTTGAAGTTGATGGTTTCAGCAGTATATAATGTGCGTACAAGAAATGGAATTTGTAGGGGAAAGAGGAAAGCAGAGTGGGTTCAGCCTGTGGGTTAACTATTCCATTCTCTAACGACACCCGAAGATAGACTTACTTCTTGTGGCCTCCACTGAGTGGCACATGCAGTGAAGGCAGACTAGAGGCCCACGGAGCTCCTCTGTGGGTTAAGAGATCAGAACAGATGAAATGATGACGAATTTCAAACCTCGTGTCACCGAGGGGGCGTGTCCCTGCGGTGTCGTCAACAGACATTCTCCTAGTGGGTGTGGTCAGGGAGGGAGAGACCAGAGTGTCAAATCTTGCCTGGTGTCGTGGTTGGAGGAAATCCCTGCCGATATTGGTTCATCATCATCATCATCATCATCATCATCATGAGAAACATCTAATCCTGAGGCATAATATACCCACCTGACAGCAGGGATGAGTCTCCTCTGAATGGGTCCCTCCAGCAGAATGTCCAGAGAGCCAACCAGACTGTCTACATCCCTGGACCCTGCATACAGTCTCAGGAGTGTCATCAGATGTGCCTTCTTCTCGACCTCTCCCATCAGGTAATAGTTCACCTGCAGGGCCAGCATAGTATAATATCAGGATTTCTGCAAAATCTCTCATATTATTGTGCATGACAAGATAATGTAACTGAAGTGGAATAAGTGGTCTCTCACTTTCGTATCTACGGAAGCCCATTGCAGTGAACCAATTTTTTGAGTTTACCTTGTTGTGGAAGGTGGCGGCTTTCTGGTACCTGGTATTGTTCCTCATCAGTCTAGACTGAGAGAGAAGAGAGGTGGTGGAGGGGGAAGAGAGGTGAGGTGGGGGAGCTGCAATGCTCCAGTCCAGTCCTCCAGTGATGACTGTCAGAGCCAGAACGTCTCCAGAGGCCCTCAGCAGCTCCAGCACCTCCAGTTTGGAGGCTTGTCTCACACTGTGACTGTCCACCTCCAGCAACAGGTCCCCTGAGCGGAGCCCCGCCTCCCTCGCCGGGCTGGGAACGTCCACAGACCTCACGAAGACGGGTCCGTCACCGCGCACCGTGAGGCCATAGCCTCCGGCTCGGTCCCTGCGGAGTCTGAACTGACGGACTCGGGATATGACGACAAGACTCGGCGGCACTTTGGCCGAGCTCCGAGCCCTCGACATCACCTGCAGCCGAGCACAAACACACCAGTGATCTAATACAGAGGCAGAAAATGAGGGATTGACTTGTTCAAGGCTCCATTGCTGAACGTCTTCTCCGTCAAGTTCGGCAATGACGTCACCGGGTTGTAGTCCCACGGCTTGAGCCGATCCGCCTTCCTCCACAGTCCTGATGACCACAGGAGCTCCGCCACTCACACTGAACCCGAAAGCCTCCGGCCAACCAGCATTGGTTCCCATTTTGCAGCAGAAGAAGGTGGAGCTCGTTTGCGCGCTTGTTGCAGCCAGCCCCACCCACCATCTACGCGAGACGGCGGCGCATGCGCAAAACGGTAGAACATGAAAGTAAAAACCAGCGCAGTTGAGGATGTACAAAACTAACTGTCTTCTTCGTAAAAGCACACGAAACAGCACAAGACAAGGAGATAGTAGCAGCAGGCGCCACATCCGATACAGAGTCCGCAGAGGAGGAATAAGACTAGTAGTCCCACCACTCTCAGAGGTCCTGACCCTCTCAGACTGTACCACTTGTGACTGTACGCCTCCCTACATAGAGGAATGTGGGTTGTGGTATAATATAATGAGGTCTTTGACACAAATCTGTATGTGGGTACATCAGGACTGCAGTATTCAATACAGTGGCGTTTTATTACACTGACATTTCACCAACATTGAGTATTATACTCTTCATGTTATATTGTTATACTCTAGCTTGCCCCTTAATACAAGAACTGAAACACAGAGCAAAGAGTTAAAATCTGGGTAATATTGATTAATCAACATCCACACCTTCGTCCGGTCCAGTAAGTGTCTCTGTAGCAGCAGAAATGGAGGCAGTTTTTGGGGTGCAGGCAGCTGTGATCGTGATAGCGATGCCAGTGAGGATTTGATATATAGTCAGGAGTCTCTCTCCCAGTCCTTCCTCCACCTCTCATCCTCTGTACTCTACCTGTCTCTCTCCCAGTCCCTCTCGTCCTCCGTACTGATCCAGGACTCAGTCTACCTGTCTTTGCTGGAGGAGAGAGAGGGAGAGAGAGGAAAATGAATGTTGGGGAAATTTCAAAATGTGGATTTTTTACAGATTGTTTGTTCCGCTGGTATGAAATTGTTTTGCATTTGGCTCAGAAACCCTTAAACTCACAAACATCATCTCTCACAGTGATTTCCACTACAGGAATGGTGAATATACATACCTTCCTTGGCGGTCTCGATTTTGACGGCAGTAACGCTGGGGAGAGGGGTGATGTCTGGAGCCAGAGTTCTGTCGACTTGACTGTAGGAGGGAGGGTCGTCCGGGACACTCAGCTGCGTCTCAAATGACTTCCCTAACGCAGGGGCGAGGGGAGGTTGACTGCCAGAGATGTAGCTGTTGACAACTGATACGACATCGCTGTGCTCTTCAGACTGACAGGGGTGAGGGAAGAGGGGTGAGGGAGGAGGGGTGAGGGAAGAGGGGAAGTATGAGAAAAGAACTACAACTATACACAGGATGACTCTCTATGCTCATTTGGAGTCCAAGATCAGATTCTGTTGTCTTATGCTGAACCAACAGCAACCTCACAGCATTGCAAACATGCACAGTACCACTGTGGGGAATATGGCCTGGCATGTGTGTGCACAAGGAGCACACAGTTCTAGGAAGAGATTTCTGTGATTCTCTCTCACCTGTCCCTGGATCTGAAAGAGTCCTCCTGGTGTCGGTGATATTCTGAGGTGTTCTAGAATGTCCTCATCCACTCCCTCCACATGGAACCTGGGGGGTCATGTGATCAGGAAAAACATGGGAGTGGCTGGGGAAGTGCACAAGCAAAGTTACAACTCTTTTCCAAGTCACACTAAAGTAACGACTGAGCTGATTGCCAAAAAGTGCAGTGCAGGATAATCGTGGATGATTTCACACAAGAGGTTTATGATTGAGCAATAATTAGCTAAAGATGTATAGCTATACTCCTCCGGTCGTATATACCTGGCCGAGAGAATGTAGGTAAAGTTGTCGTCGTTTTGATCTCTGTAGACAGTAAAAGTGTTAGAGCGCTGGCCACGCAGCAGAATGGCGGCTGCTACTTCTTCTGTCCCTCTTCCCAGGTACCAACTGACACACAGACAGACGGAGAAGAGAGAGGAACGATCAACTAGGCAGCTATCAATGATCGCATCAGTAGCTTTGCGCGTTACCGGCCGGCGAGCAGTACCCCTGCTTCCTGAGCTGTTCCTCTTCCTCTCTCTCCACCTCTATCACCACCTTCTCTGCCTCCCTGTTCTCCATGATCGATCTCCAACTCTGTGACGAATTTCCCCTTAGCCCCGCCCATCATGACGGCACGTATCATGAATATTCATAAACCGAGTACCTAATCTGCGCATGCGTGAGCGACAATCCGGGTCCAGGTGCAAAATGTCATGACAGAAAATGACGAACAAAAAGTAGAGAGAGAAGGAGAGGGTCAGTTGTGTGTGGAGGGAAATCTAGTGGCCAGAGGCAGGGTGTCCAAGTCAGTCTGCTCCACTGACGCATTCTGCTGGAGGTAGTGCCGAAACCTGTACCAGATCACAGGACAGTCATGTGACTAGTGTAAGAGGTCATGTGACCACCTCCTCTTGGTGTGGCTGAGTTTCTTGGTGGTCTCGCTGCTGCAGATGGTCCTCAGCAGAGGGAGGGAGTCGCTGACCACACCCACCGGAGTACTGGTCAGAGCAAACACTTTGGAACACTTCTCCAGACACTGTCTTACACTCTGGACACGTCTGAGGGTCAGAGAAAGGAGGATGGAAGAGAGACACACAGTTTTGCTACACCAGACAAACCAAGCACACTAGAAATCCTACACCAGTGTTCTAGCTAGAAAAAAATAAACGATTGATGCCATCCATCACCTAGAATGTACCCTGTTACATGATAGTAAACAGAAAGAGTCCTCATTTTCATTCAGGCCAGGGAGTAATGAAGATGGAGGCTGACCTGGTGAACTGGGAGTGAGAAATTGGGTCGTGATGAAGCCTCGTTCTCCCTCCACTCCTCTCCACCTCCTCACACACTCCCCTCCCCACCTCTTCCTCCCTCCACCTGCACACCCTCTCCGGGAGCTCGTCCAGAAGCCCCGCCCTCTCACCCTCACTCGTCCTCCACCACGCCCTGCTGATGATGTCATCTCTTCCCTCATCTGATGCAGTTTCCATAGAGATGGCATCCAGGTACGAGTCTTGCTCTGCATGATGGGAAGCCATGTCGATGTCTCGGTAGAGGTCAGAGGTGAGTGGGTGTGGTTTAGAACTCCGCCAGGGGAGGGAAAGGAGAGGAGGAAGCGAAGAAGATTCAGAGCTGTCGTCATGACGACGAGTAAGACCTGAGGCCAGGGACCAACAGACACTCTCAGTGTGACTGGACGTCCAGAACTGGAGACAGAGGAACAGTCGGCGAATGTCGACGTGAAGAGAGTCTGCCAGCTGTACCGCAGCGTCTGAGGTCATGTGATAGTCACATGACAGACAGAGCAGCTGTATATGCATCCCCAGCTCCTCCTGTGGAGAGTACCAGAGGTCACATGACATCACATGACCAACTCACCAGGGATGGTGGACCAAACACTATCTTGATATGATGACAGTCCAGTTCAAACCTAGAGTCTGGGGAATGGGAGAATGGGAACAGACAATAAAGGAATGGAGGAATGGGAATGGGACAGTAGTAGTACCATTGGAGGTTAGAATGATGGGTCGTCTGGTGGTAGTGATGAGGTCATAGACTCCACTCCAGAACCCTCGGTCACTCTCAAATAGAACATCCACCTACAGGAGGAAGGAGGAATGGGGGACGGAGGTGTATTACAGGTCACGTATTTAGTTAGCAATTAGCATTGACATGATCCAGAGCAGGTGTGTGGAAATGCAAGAACAAAAAGGGCAATGATTTACGATGCAACACCACCAAATGGATCATCTACTGCAGAAGACTGCAGAACAGAGGATCCGCCGCCAGGCACCGCAGGATGGCTGTGTGGCTGCGTGGACTGACCTCCTCCAGTAAGATGACAGTAGATGATTCCAGGGACACTGGCCTGCAGTGACTGCCACTCCTCCCCTCTCCTCTCTCCTCATCATCCTCTCTCTGATCTGCCCGTTTGAAGAACGTCAGCAACCCCATCTTCTTCTTCTTCTCCTTCTTCGGGTTGGTGGATAATTTAACCCCTCTCTCACTGGCAGTTTGGTTGGCCACACCCACTAAGGGTTGGAGTGAAACGTGGTGAGAGAGAGTCGCCTCTTTCAGAGTCCCCAGTAGATATCCCCTCGACCTTACTGAGCCGGCGTTGACCTCAAACACCTGCATACACGTCAGCAGAGATGGAGAGAGAGATGGAGAGAGAGAGAGAGAGAGATGGCAGTAACTAAACCTTTCGAAGAGGGCTTTGTCCCTCTCTTTCATTTCGCCACCTTTTGGTTATCGAAGGCCTGTCTACATGCAAGTTGTTTGTTAGTCTTTAGTAAACTTTACTACGTGGTATATAGTTAGAATGGAAAATAGGGAAGTTGGCTCACCTTGCAGCCCAGTTCTGCTGCACATGCATGGACAGCAGCTGTCTTCCCCGACCCCACTCCTCCACACAACAGCAGCACCGAACTCACACCCTCACACTCTTCCCCACTCTCCTCCCCCTCAGCCTCGGAGTCTGAACTACCCTCCACCTTCCTCCTCCTCATCTTCCTCCGCAGGTGAGAGAGGGACAGGAAATCCTGGCTCCCCCATGCCCACTCTGGCGTCGGCGAACCTTCTCTCTTGCACCCACTTCTCTTCAGCTCACACGACGCACTCCGTGGTTGGGCCCTCCCTTCTCCTCCTCCTCCTGCTATTGGCTTGTTGGTACTCCAGTTACGTAACCAACTGTACAGCTGCTGAACTTTGACCTTGTTTCCAATGACCTCTGAACTTGACTGAGGTCGGTAAAGTTCGGTCCACATGTCACAGCTGCGCTGTCGAACACCGTCCCTCTTCTCCCCCTCTCCTCTTCCCACCTCACACCCTCTCCGCTTAACTCCTTCAACACCTCCCTCGGTTAACCCCTCTCTCACTGAATTTTCAGTCAGCGAAATACTTCTCTTTTTGCTGAGACGAAGTGATCTCTTTCTGTTGGATTTTCCTCCATAAACTCCCTCGTCAACTTTAATAACCTTTTCCCTCCTGCCATTCAGAATGTGGATCTTGCACACCAGCGGCTGTCTAGTTCTCTTTCCCTGTTCAGCGTGGGAGGTGGGCGGAGTTTCTGAGGGGGTGTGGTCAGCCCCACCCTCTCGTATGTTTCGATATCTCTTAAACAAGTGGTGAACTCTCTCTTGTGGGTGCTCATTGGATAGAGTCTCGAGAATGGAGGCCCGCTGCTTGGCAGAGGTCACAGGGGTCAACAGGGAGGTGTGGTCTTCTCTAACGACATCATGTAAAGAGAGACATGAGCCGAGGCTGGGTTGAAGAGAGAGATCTCTATCGGTGGGCGGAGTCATGGGTCTAAGACCAGTTCCGGCAGAGGTCAGAGTCCAGAACGGCTCCGAGACACTCTCCTGTCTCACGTGAACGAGGCCCGAGAAAGGGGCGTGGTCGAACTCCAGGAGGCGTGGTTTCTTGGCAGACGGGGGTATCATCAGTACTCTCGGCTGGAGACTGTTCTTGAGAGGACTGGCAGCCGTGGTGGAGTTGGTTCCCTTGCGAGGACTCCGGAGAGGGGAGCAGTGGCGAGGAGCTCGCGGAGACCTGGCGAGACGACGCGGGGAGCATGATGCCGACCTCTGCACTCTCTTCCTGGGGCTGCGAACTGGACTGCCTGGATCGGTTCCTGTTCTGGTAGCAGTTTGCCTGGCTGACGAGGAGAACGAGTCTTGGTTGACAGGTCTGCTGAATATCCTGGCCCAGGGCCCAGAGAGTGTGGCAGAAGAGGGAGGGGGAGAGGTTGACAGTACCACGACACTCTCGTCCAGCTCTCCCTCCATACTGAGAGTCACCTCCACCTCATTCCCAGACTCTGGTTCTGAACGGAGACAGGGCTCCTCGCCGGGAACATGACGCAGAAGACATCTCTCGAACCTCACCACCAGCTCCGTCTCTCTCTTCCTCCTCTTATCTCTTCTGCTAACAACTGTTCCCCCTCTCTTCCTCCTCGTCCTCTCTAAACAACTGCCATCTTCCAGAATCTCACAATAGTCCACCTCTTGACAGTGACTCCGCCTACTTCTCCTTACTCCCTCTCTATCTGGTGCCACGCCCACTTCATCAGCTCCGTTCACAGCGACTTCCCTGGCTTCACCTCCGCTGCAGTCCTCACTATTTGAGGGAAGAGGAGAGGTGTGGTCAACACTCTGGACCAATGTTGGAGGAGGTGAGGATTGTTTGGCTACGGTAACTGATGGTTTCAGAGATAGTGTTCCACTGGCCGAGTTCCATGTCAGAGTTCCCTGTCTCATTCCGGAACTGACTGTGGACAGAGAGAGAGCTCCATTCTCCAGACTAGAGCTTGTGGTAGTGACGACTGGAGGAGCGTGTAGTGCCTGCTGCGAGCTGTGCAGAAGACCGTTCAAGTTGACTGCAAACTGCACCCCTCCCTCTCCTCCCCCCACACTGCTCCGTGACTCCTCATCATCGCAGGAGGTCCCCTCGAGAGAGGGAGCCCTGTTGATGATTGTCTCGCTGGCTGGTGGAGACTTGAAGAATGATGTAATGAGAGAAGGACGCGACTGGTTCATTTGAATCACTCTGGGAAGAAAGAGGTAGTGATCATGGTATATAAAAGGCGCACATAAAGGCTTACCAACAGATGAAAGCGAAGTAGAAGTCTGCAGATAAATTCCCGCGCGAGTATATACAAAATTTCTAGGTAGAGCTCCGTCGCGGATAAATAGAACAGTCTAGAGCCCCACCCCTTTTTATGTTTTTACCCATTTTGCACTGAATTTGTTATCATCACGTGAATGATAGAGAAAAACCAAGCGACAGCGGATGGCGGCAACTGAAGATCTGAACTGGTAAGCAGCCATAGCGTAAGAGATATGAGTGAAGAACCGGTGCTCTACACTATGCAGGCGACCTCGGTTGCGTCAGTATGACGTAGAGCTGGAGCGACTCAGCCTCCCTCGCGAGGACTCGAGCGGCCACCATCCTCTAATGGGCCTCGTGGCAGTGAGTCTCTCCTCGCACTCGCAACTCACTCGCAAACCCTCTCTCTCGCTACAGTTAGTCGAGACGGCCTCAACTACAAAGAAAACGAAGCTGGGAGCCAAGGGGTCAAAGGACACCGTGTCAGCCCCGCCCCCTAGCGACCCCCTACAGGACCCCCTGTCGATATCGGCAGCAGCGGACCCCCTTTCTGCAGCTCTCCTGGACCCCCTGTCAGCTGCTTCTGCCGAGTCCTCCAGTACCTTTGGAGCCAAGAAAACCGTAATTATAGCATTCTCTCTCTCTCGCTGTCTTTTTAGTCTGTGGGTGTGTGTGTTTGTGTAGGAAATGATGAACGTGGGTATCGACGAGACCTTTGAACCCTGGAGCTCCAAGAGGACGTCCATTCTGAGCACGTACACAACGTCTCAGAGGATCCCAATCACCACCTCCTTCCTCCCCTCCGAGGAGAGGGAGAAATGTGAGACACTCTCTCTACTAGTACTCCATGTACAACTGCACACTGCATAGATGTTTTTTTGTGCATGTGAAAATGTCAATTTGAGGCCATTTACAGATGTGTAATAATCAATGCTTTTACTCTCTGTCTCTCTGTCTCTCTGTCTGTCTAGTGGAGACGAAGGCACAGGCAGCCGCAGGGGACAAGGTATGTTTCCAGTGCCTTCCTGAGTCACGTGAGTGTCACATGACTGTCACGTGAGCAGGTGAAGAACCGCCTGGAGCAGCTGGACGACCTGGAGGACGGGAGTGTGAGGGAGACACTCAACCTGAGTCAGGTGGAGTACCTGAGGAAGATAGAGGAGCTCAACGTGAGCCTCGTGAACCACTGGGACAACGATCAGAGAGTCAAGGCCCTCAAGATCGCCATTCAGGTCTGGAGGCACAGAAGTTGATGGGAGCTCTTTCTTGAAGAAAGTGTTGTCCTGGGTGGAGTTGAATTGTTTGATATGGACTAGGCGACACCCAGTGACTACATAATTTATTTATTTGTGGAAATTAATCAGTTCATTGGTAATGTGTTCTGCAGTGCTCCAAGTTGCTTATCGACACGAAGGTCATCCAGTTCTACCCCAGCAAGTTTGTCCTCATTACTGACATTCTGGACAACTTTGGTTAGTTTACTGAGCAGTATACTGGGAGTATCCTGAGACCACACCCACAGGGTACTTGGTGTATGACCGGATCCGTCGCAAATCGACAATAATCCTGCCTGGAGCCAGCAAGCCAGTGATGCTACCTGAGAACTTCACCTCGGACCAGGTCCCTGATTCCGGGAAGGAGACTTGTCGCAACTGGTTCTTCAAGATCGCCTCCATTAGGGAACTTATCCCGCGATTGTATCCCTCTCTCTCTCCCTTCTCCTCCTCCTCCTCCTCCTTGTTCTACTCTCTCTCTGCCTGGTTTTTCCCTGACTCTCCAACTCTCAGCTATGTGGAGGCGGCCATCATGAAATGCTACAGTTTCCTGACCAACAAGGAGTACACGCAGGCCCTCATACGACTCACCAAGATGGTCCGTGGGATCGGAGACCCTCTCGTGGCAGGCTACGCCAGAGCCTACCTCTGTCGTGTCGGAATGTCCATTGCCCCCGAGTCCCGCATGCACCTCCTCCCCAACTTCACCGACTATCTCTCCACCTACTCACAGGTTTTCATTACTCAATCATCCTCACTCCTCTCTCTCTACATAATATTATACTCCCCTTTTTTGAAAGCGGGAACTCAAGTTTTCCGCATATCTGTGAATTTTTTACTCTGAAGTATTTTCTCCTCATTGTGAATGTCCTCTGAAAATGTTTGATTCTCTCATCTTTCCTCCTGTCTCTAGCTGAACTCTGACCACGTCCAGAACACTCTAGGTCTCCAGGGACTGGAGATGTCCCAGTACATGCACCTGTTCTGGCCAGCCGTGGAGTGGATTCTCCAGTGCATCGCTTACAAGGCCAGCGAGGTGAGGGTGCCACACCCACTATCTGTGTCTCCATTCCATACAACTCTGTCCCCAGGCCACGCTGGACGACGTACTGGCAAAGATCAAGGAGAACGTAGTGAGGTATTGTTTCCATAACAAGGTGTATTTGACGAGCAGAGCAGACCCACTTGAAATAGACCCTGCCACACAGTGTGAATGTGTATGATCTTGGCTCATGTTCGCTCACTGTGCTCCATCTGTTCCAGTTGGTAAACCATGATGTAATGGTGTCCCATTCCAGTGCTCCGGTTCTGAATGCGGTCATGAACAGTTTCAAGCCAGAGTACATCGCCCAGAAAGCCACCATGTTCTCTGACATGGTCCGAGACTGTGAGGAGGTCGGACTGCCTAAGGTTAGACCACACCCCTCATGAATTATTAATGAGCCCTGTCTCTGGCCTGCAGTACAAGTTGTATGTGTCTCTGGGTAACTGTGTGGTTGCTGCAGATCCTCCGCAGAAGGAAAGGTTGCAGCTCCTCAATTCAGTAAGTCCCATCTTCCCTCCTCTCTCTCGTTGTAAACTGACGGTGAATTCTCTTTCCCTCTCAGGTGTGGAAGACAGTGTCCAAACTGACAGAGCCAGGGGTACGTGTGTACCAACTCAGCTGTTGTGCGGAAATCAACAAAAATTTTTTCCAGTACGTCATAATTCTCTTATTTCTCTCTCTACAGGAGTATATCCAGTGTACTCAGGTCTGGATGGAATACGTCGCCAAACACTTTACTGTGAGTGTCACATGACTGTCATGTGACAATAAATTGTACTTTTGACCCCGACCCAGAAACGGGAGGTGAACACTCTACTAGATGACATCATCAAGCACATGACCCCAGGACGTGTCTTTGAGAACCACTATCCCGAACTAGTCTCAATCATCAACAGAATCCTCGCTCACATGACCGACTTCCACGTCCTCTTCTCCATGGTACGTTACCACGGTGATGTTTACTGGTTGCCATGGCGATGTTTATGGTGGTGTTTGCTCCGCCCGTAGGATAAGTTCCTGCCGTTCATGGACTTGCTGCAGAAGGACTCGGTAAAGGTCGAGGTTTGCCAGAATGTCGTCAAGAGCTTCATCATGTGAGCCTCTTATGATGTAATATGATGTCATACTAAATCACATGACATCATGTGATGCAGTCACCAGGAGGAGGAGACAAGTGATCCTGTCGTGATCAATGCTAACATGTACCTCTGCAAGGTCATGCACGACCACCTCAAGTGAGTGGGTTCAGTTTTGGTGAGAAAAGAGAGGTTATAGGAAGACTCTATGTTCAGTGCTCTGAGTCTGGATGATGAGAGGAGACAGATTGGTAATCTTGTCATCGGGTTCCTCATGAAGGTGAGACCCCTCACCTCATGGTCCGTTCAGTTGTCAGTGAAAACTTCACCTCAGATCAGTTTCGGTCGAGACTTTGAGCAACAGCTTGGCTTCTTTGTGGAGGCCAGGGCTTCCTTCTCCAATGTCGACTCCATTCTCGTCTTCCTCATACAAGTATGCAGAAGACTATGTTTATGTGTTTCTTATTATACTGTGTGTATGCTTCATCCTTTTACATGTACACATAGGAAATAGGCATGTCTGACACCTGCGAAGTTTTAGTTACTCATAATGTTTTATTTCCTCTCCTCAAGAGTGTGAATCGACTGGCCATGGAGACGAGGCGGAGGGTGAAAGGGAGCCACACCAGAAAGACGGCAGCGTTTGTGCGGGCGTGTGCCGCCTACTGCTACATCACAATCCCTTCCGTTGACAACATTCTCCTCAAACTGAACCTCTACCTGCTGTCGGGGAGGGTGGCCATTTCTAACGGAGCTCTCTCTCAGGGTATGTCATGATAGCTTCCAAACCTTTGATATTCACGAAAGGTTTTCTCACTCTTATTCACAACGTAACTTTCCCACTGCCTGGTATAGAAAGTCAGTGGGAGTAAGGTGTCCTCTATGCATGTATTGTGGGACAGCATTCATCTGTAGCACTACTGTGTGTGTGTGTGTCTCTCTCCATTCACCACTACTCCAGGTGATGCCTTCTTCAAAGCTGCCATCAATTCACTGAAAGATGTACCACAATTCATGGGTCTGTGCCTCTGTGTGTGTGTGTTCTTTGTCCATTCTCCCTCCCTCACTTCTCTCCCTGCCTCTCCTCTCTCTTCCTCTGACATGCAGAAATAGATCGCAAGAGACAGTCCACTGAGAGATTTATGGTCGAATACTTCAACTCTTTCCTCTCCACGCTCCTCACCGTTCCGGTTAGTCCACGACATCATTCACATTCCCAATGATGTAATGGGGATTCCCCCTCAGGATAATCCGGACCAGCAAGCTCTTTACCTTCTCCGAGGTCTTCTGAATGGACTGAATGAGTACCAATGGTAGGTTCACTAGATGAAGTAAGGTCCAGGTGACTGATTTTTCACACCAGGTCGACCTCAACTGACTGTAAGATGAGAGTCTACATCAACGCCATCTGTCTCCTTGCAGCGGCATGCCAGGTGAGGATTCCCCCCCCACCTAGCAGTATACACTGTGCATGGCTGGAGCCACCTAGTCTAGGCTGTTGTTTCGTTGCCCACCAATGTGCAGTTGAGTTATTCGGGACTTTCTCTCCGCACAGGAAAGATACCTTTACAGCTTGGAGAAAGGTCAGTAGTTAGCTGCAGGCTGTTTCCTGTCTCACCCACACATTCTCTCTCCCACACTTCATTCAACATCGTAATATTCTTTTCTCTTCCCAATGGTGACCCCAATGGTGACCCCATGCAGTGGACTGTAACGACAGTCTATATGCTGGAGACCCAAAACTGGTTGCAGAGGTGGCCAAACTGGTTCATACCCTGCTTGACCAGGTCATGGAGCACATGAAGGGACTCAACACAACTCTTGAGGTCTGCTCTTATTTTTTTTACTTTCTCCCACTTTCTTCCCCACTCTCTATTTAGTTGAAGAAACGACAGTCTCACTTGGCCCTCAGGCTGTTTGCCAGGTCAGCATTAACCCCCTTTTCACCAAATGGTTGCCAGGTTTAACCCCATTCTGCCTCTGTCCTGCTCACAGTTTGTTTGCTCATGTGGAGTTGTCAGAGCAGACCAACATGTCTTCTCTTCTGGTCAACCTGTGGAACCTAGCCTGCAAACACAGGACTGGAGATGGCAAGATGCTGGTGAGCTGATGACCACACCCAGTTGGCCACACCCACTAGACCTGTTCGTCACATGCCTGCCATTGTTTTAGTGAAAGAAACAGCATTCCTTGGCACATTAGGTGCATAGTTGGCATAATGAAGGCACCACACTGATATATATGTGACGGGGATTTTGCACAGAATGTGCTGTGTGTATATAAGTCATGTGGTCCTATAGTACTATAAATGGGTATTCCCATCACACACAGGTTGGTTACCATGGAGTTGTCAAGAACAGAGGAGCCAGAGTTGGTGGGCATTATCAAGAACTAGCTGAGCAACTGTCAGTGTGACAACAGTTCTTTTAGTCGCAGCAGAATTTGTTGTCAAAAGTTAATTTTGTGTCACTTCTCATTAGAACAGATTTTTTGTACAAAAACTCGTTTAGTTACCCTGAATGGTGGATGTGGAAAATTACAGACTGTGTGACTGTTGAAAAAGAAGGGGTGAATAAATTAATAGGGAAACATGATGTGAGCTCAGTGTATGCATGTATGATGAATTATTTCAAGATCTCTGCTCTCTTACAGCTGCAACCTCTCTCCAGAGGTTCTTGAGGTAGCTGATCTCCACAGAGAGGGCCTTCACCTGCTGCTTGAGGTCAGAGTTCAGAGCCTCAAGCTCGTCCCTCTTGTCCTCGATTATCTCCGACTCTCCTCGTTTCCGCTGGCGATAGCGGAGTGCCGCCTTCTTGTTCTGCTCTTTCTTCCTCTCCTTCTTTGCTACTTTGCTCAATTTCCGCCGCTTCCCCCTTGGCTCGCTAGCAGCTGGAGTATCTGGATCAGAATGTCGCTTTTTCTCGCTGCTCTCGGTCGGAGTCTCGTCCTCTGTGTTTCCGCGGGTTAGGAGATCCCTGATCCCTTCTGTCTTAGTGAGGTCGATAAGGTCAGGAGACGAGGGAGAGGAAGGGAAGGGAGAACCAGAGCAACGAGAGAGGTAGCTGTCGTCTGGAGACCCAGGGAGAGGGAGCGGGGAGGGGAGGAGGGTGGGGTCACAAGAGAATGAGTATGCAGGAGAAGTGTTGTAGTTGGAGGGGCTGGGGAGGGGTGAGTGGGACTCAAACTGAGGCAGAATGTGAGAGGGCGGGCCGAGCTGGGAGTCAGTGGAGTCTGAGATGAGAGACAGGGCATCCAGAACCTCTGGGTCCTGGCCGTAGCTGGAGACTGGAGTAGAGGGTGAGCTGGCATCGGGTGTGGGGAGAGAGAAGGAAGAGTAAGGCGCCTGGAACTGTGGCTGAATGAATGAGACGTCATTCTCTTGCTCCTCTGGAGTAAGGAGAAGACAATCGTTGCTCATCCAGTCAAGGTCGTCCTGGTCGAAGGGGAAAGGAGGGAAGACGGCAGGAGTGTAGCCGTCTTCCGTCTGAAGAGAAGACAGTTTGAGGACCCCCAGGGGGTCCGGGGAAACGGGGGGGTCGAGAAATTCGACCAGCTCATCGCCGTACGGGTAAGCGGCGTCCGGCACGGGGGGACCGGTGAACGTGGGTATGTCCATGTTTTCGTCTGCTCGTTCTGTGTCGGTTGGATAGTGTGTGAAGTAAACGGGGAAACCTGCACACAAAGACAAAAAGAGAGAAAATCGTCACTCAATGTACACACTATTTCAAGTAATCCGCAGCTTACCCCATCGTAGGGTGCTTGAAGATCATTTTAGTAGTTGTAAAGCGGGTCGAGACCCACTGATTAGCAAAAAGCCATCATCGTTCAGAGACGACAACGATAAACAGTCCAAGCACAAAATGAGCTTCTGCCCGCAAACATGCTCATAAATTTTCCGACTTGGCTGATGCAATACCGTCAAACTATTTTCGGCCATGGTTTTTTTAGACTATGACGACATTTCCAACCAATCGCGAAGGATTTTTATTCCCTTACGTAATCATATCACGCGCGCGTATTTGCCGCGAAACGTGACGTCCGGGGTATGAACGAGTGATGAATCGGGCTAGCAGCAGCCCTCTGCCGGATGATACTGTCTTCTACAAGCTTTTCCCAGCGAGAGAGAAAAGAGGAGATGCCGTGAAGGAACTAGACCTGACCTGCTTGGCCGTCAAGTGCTCAGAGCTCGCAAAAAAGCTCGCTGGAGACCACGTGTGGCACTACCGGTCGTTCCAACTGGAGGTGTGTCACCACGTGACCACAGGTATGCGAAGAATGTGTTTGTTTATCTCTCCCAAGGGCCTCGTGACTCGTATAGGTGGGCGGGTATGCAGCAGAGTGGGCATTATTCCACGCATGAATGTGTGTTCTATTCCAACCAGCTCAACAAACAATGGATGAATATTGACCTGTAGGACAACTGTCAGTCTCATGTGGTGTCCTAATTTGCAGATCCAGCCCAGACACCGCCTCACTTATGTGGGAGTCTGTGTTACCGTGACAATGTGGAGGACGAGTGGTTGGTTGTTTGGTTGCTATTGGAGATCAGCAAATGCTTTTCCAACCTCGTTATCAGGTAAACCCCCTAGCCTCATATCACTTTTTTCATGGCGAAATCTTGTCGTAGCAGTCACAAATTTCCTGACTTGTAAAACTTCTAACATAATGTGTGTCCCACAAATTGTTAGTTTAGGTTGCATTAGACTTACTGCTGGGGTGTGTATTGGAGGGGGTGTACGTATCGGAACTGGTTCTTGCTGCAGTTTGAGTCTCAATCTCTTCAACCATGTCGGGTCCACTCTCTTTGTCCCCCCTCTCTCCTTCCTCCTCCTCTTCCCCCCTTCCCCACTCCCCCGGATCCCCGATGTCACACTCTCCATCTCTTCAACGTCCTCTTTTATATACAAACTCTCTGTTTTCTTCACATACAGCGTCCAGTCGATAAACACTGTTTTCCCCCGTGACTTGCAGTGTTAGTGACGAGGATGGAGAGTTTCTGCTGATAGAGACGGCTCACCACTTGCCCAGCTGGCTGCGTCCAGAGACTGCCCAGAACAGAGTGCGTGGTACGAGAATATGTGGGTTGCTTGAACGAAAGGCTACGTTTGGTGTTCTGATCTTTTGCAAAAAATGAGACTTTGGGAGAATTCCAAGCCTTTTATACCCTGCTCCCTACCCAGGCCACTGATGGTTGCACCCCCATTAGAGTAGCATTCCTCTGTGATCAAAATAGCACTGTGTGTCCATATTTAGGCACAACTATGATGTAATGTTGGAGTACTTCCCTTACATTTGTAAGAGGTCAATTGGTCATCCTTTGTGTGGTTTGCATAAATAGTAACATCTCCATATTAGGAGAATGGAATATCAGTGGGAGGGTGAGAATGATGGAGCAGTTTAGATTGGTGGACTCATATCCTGAGCTGAGCAGCGTAGGATTTCTACATGTTTTGTTACCAACCTCCAGTTTTCAACTTCCTCTGTACTGACAGATGACGTGTTTATTGCATTCCTCCCACCAACTACATTTACAGGTGTTTCTCTGCCGAGGATCTCTCCACGTGATACCCCAGCCACAGACACCAGCCGAAATATCCCGTTATCCGGTTGCCACGCCCACTCTCAGGGAGGCCGTTGAACTCGTCAGTGATCCAGCCACACCCACCGAAGCCGCGCAAGTCGTTCAAGAAGCCTTGCTCCATCGAATTTCATGGTAGATTTCTCCTCCCCGTTTGCTGCTCCCCCTACTCTTTCTCTCTCCTCGCTAGTTTCCCAGCTGCTATTGAGACCAACCTCCATCGTGCCAACTGCTACCTACCCTGGCCGGTGGGTCACATGATGTCATGTGACCCGAGCCTGGTTGCTGCAACAGTGCATGCTCTGTGTGACCGTGGACCAGAGGAAATGAGGGCTGCCCGCTCCATGAAATACTTCTCTCCATCCACGTACACTTCCCTAATGACTCAGGTAGTGCAGCAGTGTTCATATATTGTAAGAGTAGGGAGAGTGAAATAAGGTGAGATGTGACAGTTTGGTTCCAATGTCTCTATTATGTATGTATGACACTGTGTTGTCTGTGTGCAGGTGAGGTTCACCAGATGTCTGTATGCAAACTCCTTCACATGAGGTTTAACCCTCCGCCACACTCTGGGTTTAGACTGGCTCCACCCACCAACCACACCCACAAGGCTCACGAACTGGGAATGAAGTTGGTGCGTCCAATAAAATCGATTGTTAGTGTTTCTGACCTCATGTGAAAGGACTGGACAAGATGTGGCTGGCAATAGAGTATGATTTGGCTTTTCATTGTGACTTTGTTGTTGTTCACTACAAGTAATGGTGATGTTTTGTCTCTTCTGCTGTAGACTTGTGGACTGGAGATGGTATTGAGTTGTGTGGGGAAAGGAGAGGAGGGGAACCATCTTATGAATGACACAAGTTGGAAGATGTTTCTCAAGAATCTGCAGGAGAATGATTATTTTCAGGTCTCTCTCTAAAGATACAATGTTGAACACTTTTCTGTCTGCTGTGTATTCATGTCATTGGCACCAGACAAGGAATGTGTTTGAAGCAGTTAGAACATGTTACTTTGCTCTCACTGGATAATGTGGGTGTGTCTGAGGTTGTAAAGCATTGTATATCGCAGGGGGAAGTTGAAGGCTCCCAGAAGCACCAGCAACTGATGACCTCAGCCCGAGACTATTTCCTGACCACCACACTATCAGCTGCAGGGGGTCCTGAAATACACAGGTATACATCGATCGGACTAGCTTTATCTCTAACAACACTGTGGGCTTGATACCTCGTAGAACGCTAGCAGAATTTAGCAAAGCTAAGGCGGGAAGCTGTGCCACAATATTATTATGCAATCTCTAGTGTCTCTCTTGTCCCAGAGACCCTGTGGAGGCAGCTGGTGTGAGAACTCGCCAGCTGCTGGCTTCGAACCCAGGCAGCGAGGAAGATATGAGACAGAACTCCTGTTCTCTCCCTCCCCCTGATGGTGTGTAAGGGCCTCCAGTTCAATTCGATATATGTGTACATATAGTAACATGTATGTTAAAGTGGAAGCAGATGATGGCACATTTCCTTATGGTGTTCAAAGTGTGGCTATGGTCTGATATTTACTAGGAAGGTGTATAGTGCTTGTTTGACTTGTGCAGACGATGGCTGGCTGGAGATTTCACCCACTGAACTGGATGCCATGATGAGGAAAGCAGCAGGATACGAACCTGGGGAAGTCAGCAAGGAGGGAGAAAGACAGGCTGCAGCTGAGGAAGTGGTTCGTGGAGTGAAATCTTTTGTCGATACCGTTTCGTCTCACGAAGGGGCCGAGTTTCCATGGTAATGAGTCTCTGTGTGTGTGTATAGCTTGGTGACTGAGGCAAGTGATATCTGTTTCTACAGGAGTGGTGAGAGAGGACGAGGAGTGGATATTGATGTGGACGCAGTCCTGCAGGCACTGAGAGGAGAGGGGGAGAGGGGAGAGGGGGAGAGTGACAGTGGTGAGGAGGAGGAGGAGGAGGAGGAGGGAGTGAGAGAGATGATGGAGGAGATGGCCCAGGAACTGGAGGCAGCAGGATTCAAAAGCAGTCTGGGGCCAGAGGAAGGGGAGGAAGGTGATTTGGAAATGGTCAAGAACCTTCTTTCCTCTCTTGCAGCTCAGCCCGAGGCTGCTGGCCCCGCCTCCAACATCCTCCACTCCCTGGGGATCCCAGTCCCAGACCCAGACTGACATGGAATGGAGACACACCCAGAATCATTACGACCAACAATCCACCACGTTTTCACAATTTTCAGTAAAATCTTTTCATGAGGCATATAAAACATCACCCATGGAAAATGGCTAAAACAGTGACATAATAATAATAATCAACTGAGGGTCAAATCAATCAGTTCTCCAGGGGGGCGGGGCTAGCTGATGGACTAACAACGACATAAGGTGACACATGATTTCAGGCACAGCGTGGAGAGAGATCGAGACAATATTATAACGTTGACAGAACCCATGAAGTTCTAGTAGCTGATGATGACAAAGACTGACACATACATGTAATATGACATGGACACAATAGCAGTGGGCATTAAATGAGAAAACCCTAATGAGAGAAATGTCTATGAACTGAAGCTGCCTCACCGCCGAAAACAAAACACAAAACAACAACATCCACTAAGTTGAGGAGAGTAATAATATATAATATAATAATAATAATAATAGTTGCGATATTGCTAGGGATAATATGCTTCTTAAAGGGTGGTACAGCAAATAAGAGTGCTCCTTAAATAGAACCAGATAAAAACTCGGACGGTGCAGGCGAGGCAATATGAAGACTAGGTCACGATGAATTGTAAGACAGGCTAGAATAATATGTTACCAAGACAAACTAAACTATACCTAGTGATGAGTCACTCCTAGTGGCCATGACCGGCCGAGAAAGAGAGAGAGAGAAGGCGACTAGAGAGGGATTAGGGCTGTGGAGCAGTGCGTGATCCGTTCCTGACAATAGGGGCACACCCGGTGGGCCTCGTCCATTGACTCTGCACACTTCTCGCACAGGACGCAGTGCTGGCACGGCTGGGTGAGGACACTAGACCGCGCGGAAACCTCCTGATCACTTGAGCACACATGTGCTCCCTTCCTTTGGCTGATGCTCTGTGAAAGGGAGAATCCTGTCATAGGACGGTCAAACTGAGAGTTAGTAGGTGCTCAGCTGAGTCAAGCGGTCGGATCCTCCCGAAGATCTCTCCTCACTGCCGGCGCCGCGTCAAGCCTCCCTCCAAGTCTGGACAGAGAGCAGCGCGACTCAGCACTCCGGCCGTATGTCGATTCCTCGCTGCTGTCGTGCGGATCCAACCCGCTGTACGGTGAGTCCTCCTGTATTGTCTCTCTCCAGCTGTGAGAGAAAAAACAAAGTCTGCACGTGCAACTCAACAAACGTACTCGCTGCTCTGCTTGACTGTCTAGTGTCTAGTGTTCAATTCCTATACATACATACCCGCCTAGCCAGTATACATAGTCGATCCTGGCCCCGTTAAACTGTTTGTTTCGCTTTGCATTGAAGTATGTGTTGATGGCTCCATACAAACAAGCCTGTGACACCGAGGCACTAAACTTTGGCTATGGAGCTCATACACGTGAAAGTTGGCACGAGACTTGAATGAGCCAGCCAACAGAAGGACGAAATGGCTCCCTCTCCCATCACCTCTTGCAATTCTCCTCCGCTGCTACGACTGCTCCTCTCTCCATTCTGGCTCGACCTGGCCGCGTCTCCTCAGACCCTCCTCTTCCAGGCCTCGCAGGCCCCTTGGCCTGATCTCTCCATAGATGTCCTGCCACGAGGCCAGACTCTGCTGTGACTGACGCAGCTCGTCTCGCTCAAGAATGGCCGCAGAGGACTCTGACTTGTCTTCTACTGGCGACGCAGCACCGCCACCAACTGTCCAGTGTTGTGTGTGTGGGGTGGGGTTAGTCATCTCTTCTTGGGCACTTCAACATATGCAACTAATACAGCATACAATCTGATCACACTATTATCATTATGGTAATACTAGGGCCCCATGACTGACCATGGAGTGGCGTGTTTGGTAGGGGCAGACACCTTCCCAGAGAGCCTGCCTGGGCAGCCCCTGCGACGATATCACTCATGAAGGAGGGCGGTGGCAGCACATGCGGACGCCGAGAGGAGTGGAAGGAGGGTAGGAGTGGAGGATGCGGAACATACGCCGTCCGGCTGCCCATCGCATGCAGCATGTGCTGCTGTACCCGTGTGGGGAGAGGGAGAGGATGTGATCTACAGGACATCGGGGTGTTATTCGCGTCATCAAAGGCCGTGTGTGGTAGTGACATTTCTCTGATAATGAATTACACCTAGTTCGGCGGAAAATTCAATGAGATCAAATATCTCCTGCCACAGCCACCCCACACAAACTCCAGTTACACTGACCATGTGCATTGTGCACAAACTTACAACCGTGGAGACCTCTCGAAGCTGGACACACTAACGAGGCAGAACTAGTGAAAAGTGTCTGCTTGAAGAGTGTCCTTATTCTGGGTCCACAATACTATTTGACAGTATCCTGTGTATACACGACGTACTGTGAGTCCGGTGTGATGGGAGGAGAGGAGGGCCGTAGGCGAGAGAGAGGCCGGCCAGGGGGGTGGAGTAGAGGAGGGGGTGCTCCCTGAGTGGTGGTGCTGTGGTGCTCGCTCGGCAGTGACTGCATGAAGCTCATGTGCTACTGGCGACTCTGACGCCCAGGATACCAACCTCGCACTCAACATCTGCTGCAGGGAGAGAGTAGAGAAGCACTCATCACTCTCAAGAGACTCTCTTTGCATTCATGTGCAGCGGCTGAGCAAGATTCTTTAGAGTGAATTTCAAACATCTTGCAACTAATCGAGAGCACCGTACGAGTGTTGTCAGGTAAACTGGCACGACTCGGTGGTGGCTCCATTCTTATTAGTTCTCTGCCCTTCACATCCTATTGCGAGCACAGAGAAATAATCCCATCAGACCTCAACATGAAAACAACTCGCTACTCTGATTATAGGTGGCATTGCTCTAACAGAGGTAGATGTATAGGAAGAGATTAAACACCTCCTGAGGGTCGTCTCTAACGAGAGCCTGAGTCCAGGTCTCCAGGTTGCGGTCTCCTCCATCCACATGGCAGCTCACGAGCATCGGATACGGAGGAAGGGAGGCTGTGGGACAAGGGGAGGATGGGCTACCGCCTCAGGGGAAACGCCCTGCGCGCTCCCCACCCCACCGCCCCTAACGTACAGTCGCAGCAGGTCTGTGTTAGGATGTCACCTTTATCACTGCACACCATCATATATGTCTCTATGACTGAGAGTGAAGTTCATGTGTGGATTGCTGGTTCTAGAATGTAAGTACACACCATCCTTACGGACTGGCTAAAATAATGTGAGGAGTCTTTGGAAGGAAAGAGAAGATCTCGTGTCGACACAGATACACAGCTAATAGGTGGTGGGGTGACGTGAGAGCGTGTAGAGAGAGAGAGAGAGAGTGTTTGCACTCCACCTGTTGCAACGTCTCTGCTTCTCCAAGCTCTCGTCGCAGGCTGTGTGTCTGCATCATCAGTTGCATAATCTGCTTCTTATGGACACGCTATAAGACCACATACACACACGAGGAGCAAGATGATGAGGGGAAAGATGACAGAGAGAGAGAGGAGAGAGACTATATGAAGCAGGGAGGAATGAGAGACAAGACAAATATTTACATAATACTGCCCGTGCCCCCTCCCACTGTGTCTCGAATGCCACAATCATCACACTCACAAAGTATGTCATAGTACATGTACAGCACCTGTCATCACATAGATAATAGCGTAACAATACAGTGAGAAAGCCAAATAAGTAGCGGATGATGCACGAAACCTGACGAGTAATCATGTGACTCCCAATACCATGTCCGCAGCACATTGTGATAGAATGCTCTCTTGAGAGGCAAGCTATAGACTGACACCGTGGTTAAGGTGCTATACAATGTGATGTATAGATCAGATATCTGAGATATAGCAGTACGTCCATCGTCCTCCAGGATACTCTGATGCTCTGAACTCTGGCACCCACGGCTCTCTGGAGCTGTACGGGAGGAGGTGCTGGCCGGTCCTCTACCCGAAGGTCGCGATGCTGCAGCGTCAGACTCTTGAGTGTGCGGGAGGGAGTAGGGTCAGAGTCCAGCGAACCTCCTCCCCGCGAACACCTGTGGGTGCGATAGGTATCAGACAAGAGACGAGCAGGACTGCAAGTAAACGGAGTCTCGAAAGGACACAGTAGAAACACAGCAGCAAAAGCAGACAGACAGACATAGGAAGATCAGCGCGCGCTAGACGAGAATCCTGCGAAGCAAACAGTCTGATGGGGTACAAACTTGTCACAGTGTACAGTCATATGGGCTATCTCTCTGTCACTTCTCGCTTCATTGCGCCTTAGGAACAAGGTCGGTCTCACAAGACACACATCACACATTAATAAGTAAAACTTCCGCATGTATTAGTCATGATACGATGTAGTACTAGAAGGGACTTGTGTGGAGGCATACCACAAGAGGACTAGGAGCTGTGGTCCATCGGTTCATCTGTTAACTCTCTGGAAAGCAGACAGGTCTCTGGACAGAGAGAAGAGGAGAGGGAGCGGGGATGTGTGAGGGAGAAAAGTAGAGTAGATCGGGGAGGGTGTGAGGGATAGAAAGGAGATAGAGGAAATGTGAACCCAACACCAATCAGTGAAGTGTCCTGCTACAGAGAGTCCAGCTGATAAACTGCAGACTGTCAGTCTCATGTGTGTGTGTGCACACATATATAATATTCTCACTCTTTATACACAATTCATTATCTCTTCCTTAGGTGAGGGGCGATGCAATACTAGAGGGTATTGGAGGGTGCCTGTGTGTGTGTGGTCTTACTCTCGTCGTTGGCAAGGCAGCAAAACGATCTCTCTGGCAGTACCGCCAGTCTGCTGCACATTCGTTACACTTGGTTGACCTGTGAGATCTGTCTGGCATCACAGATACACCAGTACACACACACCCACATCACTACACATTAGGTGAAGAAGACGTATTGATTCAATGGTATAGTCCCAATGATATTTGACTACATGGAAGGAGAGAGAGAGAGATATTGAGAGAGAGAGAGATAGAAAGAAGGATGTGGTGTGGGAAATTAAAAGCGAATCTCCCGCAATAATATGACCAGAATGCCTGGAGAGGACACACCACTTCACAGAGGCATGATGTTGCTCTTCTCGCTTTCACAGGTCGTATTAGATAACACATGGACGCCTATGGGACCTCGGTGTTTGTGTATAGAGTAAATAAGCAGAGGTTCATAATATGCTTGAGTTTATTCCTACATATAGGGTCAATCGGCCACTACTGATTGCGTGTTGATTTAGGGACGTTCAATGTCGGCTCTACTGTCTGTATAGAGGTTATGGCTCCGGATATCGTCGCTACGTCCAGTCGGCTTAGGCTTTCCTACTCCTTTTTACTCTTACCTTATTCTTTGTTCGCACCCAGTGATCTGAGGGGTCTATTAAGCCCGCTCGCGGGTTAGAGGCGCCAGGACCCTTTGCATCACGCGCTCCTTACATTGAGCCGTAGCTCTTCTGGCCAAACTTTCCAAGGTCAACTTCCCGGGTTCCTATGAGTTTCTCGGTCTCATGTTTCCTGGTCGCGTAACCCGATACAAACCGGATATTCTATATTGCGGTTTCGTTTCTAGCAAATCTCAGAAGGCTCGCTCGCTAGGATCGCCTAGTCTGTTCCCTTTGATGCGCAAGGAACCAATGTTTTGACAGCTCAACAAGGTGCTAGTGCATTGGCGTCTTGTCAGACTGACCGTGACCACGAGGAAAGACAAGAGAATAAGCGAGAAATGAGGGAGTGACTCAGATGTGAATCTTTCTCTGGTGCTCATATTCCTAGTCGTTGGCTATTAGTAGTCCCGCAGTCCATCTCCCTGCTCACAATACTAGGAGAGGTGTCATCCCACACAGCTCGCTTCATTCAGTTTCCCCATTTGGACTGCACGGAGCGTCGACCTGCCGACACGGAGAGGGT